GTATATGTGTCTGCACGCAATGTGCTATGATATTATTACGTATGTATATGGTATGTATTGGTGATGAGCGATATTTAACTAACGGTGATTTTTTCACTGTGATTGAAAAATCGCACATTCCAACTGCGATTACATTTTATAAATAGTTTCTATGAGCTGCGATTGCGATAACAGTTAGAACCTTTGATTTTCGAAAGCAGTTCGAAACTGTGAATTGCCATAGCAGTTCACAATAAACTTGTGAAACTGTGATATTTTAATAATACAGTACTTGCGATTATAATAGCAAATAGCAGAGAAGTAGCAGCTTTCTTCAGGGTATTGTATATTCATATATATTAGTACATGTCCAGAATAGACATCCTACATTGATTATTAGTCATTAGTTTTTCTTTGAAAATATTAAAAATGGGTATTCTAAACAAACGAATGATCAAATACATTAAAGCTAATTCCTTGTAAGAAATCTGTGAAACCATCATACCAACATACAAATGAACTATACAATACGCTCCAAGTGTCAGGTAGCCGAACCGCTCCAACATTTGCGAAAATGTAGTGAAAAGAAAGGCGGAAAAATATGACCTGAGTTACAGGACCCAAAAGAAAATTTGCCGGCAATAACGACAAAAGGTTTCCGTCGTTCCCACGGCAGTCGGGTCCACGTAACTGGATATATCGGATATCCAAAAATATTATAAAAATAACTAATCACCCCWATCATGCATTTCGATTACGTTCCCGCTCTACGCTCCGCTGGAGTTGAAATTAGGTATCATGTGTTGCAATTGGATTGAAAGAAGGAGAGGAAGAGCTATAACTCTTTCGAAATCAGCTGTTTGCCTTGAAATATGTGAAACTGGAACATAAAGCAAAGCAAAAATACACAAACTACTGCTGTTCAAATTTATTTTCTTAATAAATAAAAGTAAATTTTTATTATTTTTATTTAACTTAATTATGGAATCTTTATCCGCGGCGATATCACTGGTTGAGGAGGAGAGCAGCGCATCTCAGGATGCTGGGGTGAGAATTGAAAGGAGAAGATTACGGGATATGTGCGATCACTTCCAGATGAATGACGGGCTGTAAGTAATTGCACGTGAAAGTAGACCATTTTTTTACAATTTGTTTATTTATTTAGATTCAAAAAAAACGTTCGCCCAAATAAGGACGCATTCAAGTATGTCCTAGATACGTTTGCGGAAGAAACGACGGCAAGTACTTTGTCCTCGTTATCTCCGCTTAACATTGTGGTATCCGCTTTAAGATTTTTTGCGGAAGGCAGTTACCAGCATGGAGTTGGCGCAGATCACAATGTTGGAATGGCACAGTCAACCGTGTCAAAGTGGCTATCAAATTTTCTCAATATAATGCAGCGGAAGCTATGCTCACAGTGGATAAAATTTGAGCAAAATGAGATAGAAAAGCAGGAAGCAGAACCAAATTTTTTTACGAAAGCTGGTTTCCCAGGTGTTATCATGTGCGTTGATGGTACGCACATAAAACTAATCAAGCCATCCGATGAACCTTTTCTTTATTACAATAGAAAAGGATTTTATAGCATCAATGCTATGGTGGTGAGGATTGTATTTCATGAAATCAATTCCTTAATTGAAAATTTATTTTTTTAGGTGTGCGACCACAAATTGACGCTAGGTATCCTGGAATTTGATAATGAAAACCGTCAAGAGGAAGAGGAAAAGGAACAAACCAATGACCCTGAATTTACATCAACAGCAAATCGTATTCGTGACAACATGCTCTCTACTTTTTAATAAATTTGAGAAACGAGTACAATAATAAAAACATTTTTATTAAATTGTAAATTGTATGTATATATACTATTCGTATATTAAAAAAATTATTTACATTTCACAACTTGTTACTTAAAGATAATAAATTGAATTCAGTTCTTTCACAGCAGTTCAGTTCACAGCTTATTTCTTAAAGATAATTGAAACAAAAAACTAAAAAAATAAGTTCAGGTACAAAATTTAGGTTATTTACTAAATTAGTTGGAATCTTATAATTCGGATCTAACTTTAGCATCTGCATCTTTATTTCCACTTTTTCCCTTAACAATTCTTCCTTAATTTTATTGTGTCGTTTCTGTTCTTGTAGTTGCTTCACTGCGGTGTCCGCCATACATTCTAAAGAACGATTCATGCGACGTAAATATGTTACCAGCTGCAACTTCATTATGGTTTTTGGTGTCCTCGTAAAATTCTTTCTGGAGAGCTATTTGTTCTTTGAGTAAGGAAGAAGCGCTCTCCTTATCAGTTCTTCTTTCTCTGCGCTGGCTGCTAACTCTGCTGCATGAAGGAATTTCATTTCGATCCTCCGAACATGCGGAAATGTCCATTTCGGAGGTTTGGGCAACGTCTTGTACCTGCGCACTATCGCCATAATCTCGCGCACCACTTATTCCACTTGTACAAGTTTCCAACCCCGTCAAAGCTATCACCTTCTCCTCAAGTGGGTTTATCCTTTGCAAACGACATTGACCTCCACCTGTGCTCATTATTTCCTTTTTGTTTGCAGACAGCTTGCGTTTAATATAGCACTTCCAGTCAATCCACACCTGTAACAAAACATTTGAAGTATTTAGAAAATCTATTTTCAATAGTACAATACCTTTCTCCATGTACTTGAGTCTTTTGATGGTGGACCAAGTGCATTTAGGGCATTTGCAATTTCCTCCCAAAACTCCTTCGGTCGCTGTTGGAAGCCCTGCGCAACATCTCTTTTGGTTGCCATTATATCAGCCAATTTTTCGTATTGCTCTGGTGTTGTTGTTTTTGACCTACAAATATATCAAAAAACATCATTAAAGCACAAAAACTGAAATAAATCATGTTGGTGACTTTTAAAACTATCAACAACAAATTTTACTTAAATTTTTGGAAAATTATATTGATAAAGTACACTAGAACAAAAATATAACTGCTCTCCGCCAACAAAATTGCAACTTAGCATAACAGAGCTACGATCGAAATGCATGATAGGCAGAATTGTAAATTTCGAAGTTGAACGGGAACGGAACGCATGATACCAAAGTTGCTGTTGCGTCAAGCGACTTTATACGTCTAAAAATAATGGTTTAAAAAGAAATTTGTAAAATTAATTAAAGAATCTATGAATATTATTAAATGTKGTTTTTTATATCATGTAAATACTTACCATTTTTATATTAACAAAAAGGAAAACATCTACTACCTATGTATTAGAATAATCTATTACCATGAACTTAAGATTGCTGAATTGAATTAGAACTACATACTTACCCCTCTTTTGTATACATACTTAACTCTAGTCTAAGCCGTTAGGTTAAGATTTAGGCTAACTAATGAACTGTTGAAATAAAGAATGCCATTGTATTAAAGACTATACCCGCTAACGGACGTTTTTTCTTTTGGAMCCGGAATCTTTTTAAAATCGAGATTAGCACAGGCAATTAGCTTTTAGTTGCGCATACTAGTGAGTCCAACGTGTTTAACTTTAATCTTAAAAAAGCTTAAGATTTTTTCAGTTGCCAAACGGAGAAAATTTCGATCCAAGTCAATGCATGATAGGGGCGAATATTTTTTAAAATATTCACGTTTAAAAATTCAAAACTTTCCACTATGGACACATGGTATTTCGCTATGTTTCACTAAATTTGTTTAAGTTTTTTACTCTGTATATTTAAATATACAATCTAAACATTGAAATAAGCTCACATTTCACATTTATTTTGTAATTTTTCAGCTAAATTTAGTAATTTAAAGATCACTTATCAAATTTATGGCTGAAAAGTTTAGTGTTTATATTTTCGAGGAAAACCAGCTTTGCCACACCTTAAAACMYAAAAGTGGAGGATTTTTCAGCGTTTTCTTTGTTTGTACTTTCGAGTGATTCTTTTTTCTTTATTAACTATAAAAGAAATATAAAGATTTTTCAAGCTAAACCTGAATATATGAACACTTTTCTAAATACATATGTACATATACAATATATAATAACGTAATATCATATATTACACAATCACATAGAACTTGTTATGAAATTGGCGGCCWGTGGTTGTTCTCTAAAAAAACAACCTTGGCCGAGCGAATACCCGGGAATTTCCGCGAAYTGCCTTATCATCACATGGCAGCACTCCATTTCGTCGTAATTTTTGGTAAATAAATGAGGTTCAAACAAGTGTAAAATGTAATTTTTAAGATAAAAATTTTTTAGGTAAAAAACAAGCTAATAGTGTAAAATGTCGATTTATATAAAAGTTTATAGTGTAATTTAGTTAATTTGAAGTGAAAAATGTGAATAAAGTATGTTTGATGTGGTGGAATAGCTTCTTGAAATGTTCGAATTTTGAAAATTTTTGAACTTTAACCCTTCTGCACAAATTGAGATTGTACCCCTCATAAACAATTTGTGAGTCAATATGACCCAATAGCAAGAACACGTCAGTATGGTAAAATTATAATGGCAAACTAATTTTTTTATTATTCAAACATAAAATTAACAAATTCAAAATTGTTTTCAATAGGAGTCAGTAAAAAATACATCAATTCTGACAATTTATACACATAACTGCCTTTACAATATGTTGTTTGTATATAAAGTTCAAGCATTTATCGCAACGAACTGAATGCTTGTTGGAGTTTTTAGTATGTGGACAATAAAAACACCTTACTCTCATTGGCCTTTAGCATCTGTCCAAAAGACTTCCTACTCCTGCACAAAGATCAGTGCAATTTGTAAATTTTGTTTACCCAATTTTTCGGGTTTAGATCTGGTTCTTGCGCTAGCCAATCAACAAGTGGATCTTTTCTTGAGTAAGGCAGTTTTTCCAATATGCAAGTGATCGCTATCGTGCATTGAAATCCAATTTGCTGGCATAATACTATGGCTCCATTGTATTCCTTAGTATATTAAGATATGCAATTTATCCATATTCTCTTCTATTTTTAGTAGTGGTTCAAGTTCAAGCGACGAAAACGACCCCAAACTTTTAAATTTCCTCTACCGTGCTTTACGGTCTTTTTGGTATATCTTAAATTGACTTCTTCGTTTTTCTCTTGATGTTAAAAATGTCGTGAGAATATAAATGAGCATCAACATGTGGGCCAATCAAAATCTGTGATCACCGGAAATTCCATCGAAACTGTGCGTGAGTTCATTAAAAATCAGCCAAAATAAGCCGAAATCATCATAGAAATGGAAGAGAACATCTCCAAAACATCGGGTTTTCTTTTTTGACCGAACAGTTGGACATATGAAAGGTATGTTGCTCAGAATCCAAAATTCGAAGGACGATTTTTTGACCAAAAATCACATTTTCAGCCTTAACCATTCCCCGTATTCACCTGATATGACAACATGCAACTTCTTCCTTTTTCTGAAAAATGCATTTGCTCATGAAAGGAAAGCGTTATGCCGACGTAGGAGCCATTCAAAAGCCTTGCACCGTCATACTGGCGGCCATACCGGCCAACGAGCTAAACCAATCACTCGACATGCTTTTGGATCGTGCAAAAAGCTATATTGAAGCAGAAGGAGACTATTTTGAATAAAATAAATTGATTTTGCCGAAAAAAATATATTTTATGTTTTTTTTCTTAAGTCCTCAAGACTATAAACAGGAATAAAGGGATGTTGAACTAATTCCAGTGTGAGAGCGCCTCAAAATAAGCGTTTTTTATGACATTTTCCATTATGGCCAGATCGAACAAAATAAGAATTTTTATACATTACTTACAGTCTCGGTTGACGTCGATGGTGGGATTCCAATCTCGGGATAACTTCGGAAATTTTGCATATACATCCGCTTTTTAGCATGAACTTTAATACTGCTAGTTACATACACTTTTTTTGGTCCCATGACATTTGCCAAAAATTTTCAAATATGTATACAACAGTGCCGAATTGAACTTTATGCACAATACTTAAATATGCATGCAACTTTCATTTCTCGTGGTTTCCTTTCATATCTTTTGTTAATTTTTTTACAACTTTTCAAATTTTCATTCTAATTAAAAAAAATTTAATTATGGAACACATTTTATTATTTCACAACACTTTCCTTTTTTTACTTGTGTTATAACTTTCAGTACAAAAACCAAATCAAATATACAACCAAAACACTTTGAACATTTTCCAATAAATATAAACAATAAATCAAGGCTAATTCTGTTAAAAAATGTGTCATGCACTTACTGATACATTTTTTTTAATTTTTAATATAATTTGCGTATTACCAATCGCATGCTTAAAATCTTGACACTTACATATATATGTATGTATGTATGTTATATGATGTGGTGAATCGTAATCAATAAAAAACTCAATTTCGAATTTTTTGATGATACGTGGTTTTACTTGACTGAAGCGACTTGAGCGAAAATCCAAAGTATAACTCTTGCAAAAAAATTATGCAAAAAATAAGTGCATATTGAATTATTTTATATAACTATAAGTCAAAATTCCGATTTCTTTGGCGCCGCTATCTAAAGAAAACTTAGGAAAGAGGAAATCCTCCAGATTAAAAACAATATATATAGGTACCTCAAACATTTAGTTTAAGAGATATTCGACTTTAAAGTTCAAAAATTCCAAAAATTGCGGCATTTCAAATAGCTATTTCACTACATTTTTCACTTTAAATTTATTAAATTAAACTGTAAATATTTAAACAAATTCACATTTAAAAAATTTTTAATATTATATAATAACGCAGGAATACACAAAAATGGCAAATGATGGTTATCTATCGGATGCTAACTTACCCTAGTCGTCGAAAATTTTGACGTTATTTAAAATATCAGCTCAGTAAGAACTGGAAGGTTTTAGCGAACCACTTGGCATTAAACAAAATTAATCAGATGCAAACGAGCTTTTGAACTTTATTGTTTGCACTGGAAGTATCATATAAAATATAACGATAAGATTATGTACTTATTTGCTAAAATTATTACAGTTAAAATATTAAGGCATATATTAATTTATTTAAGTTATTAGAACTGTCTTTAATTCGTATGAGTCTCCAATTTCCGAAGAATTGCGCATGAATGTCGATAGATTTCCTAAAAATATAAAACAAACGGTTTATATAAGTATTTAAGGATTAAAAATTCTTCCAAAATTTTATGTTGACCCGGGAAATAGTTTCGAAGATAAAGCGTATTAGTTAGACTTTTATACCCTGAACATGTTATAATAAAGTATATGTGATCAGCATGACGAGCTAAGTCGAATTAGTCGTTTATCTGTTTGTACATACGTGAACTAGTCCCTCAGTTTTTGAGATATTTTGCACTCGTATTTTTTCCCTTAAGAAAATGCTCATTTGTCAAAACCGGTGATATCGGGTCACTATAACATACAAATACAGCTGTCATACAAAATGAATCAATCAGAATCAAGTGCTTGTAAGGGAAGCTATTTAGTTTTGACAGATATCTTCAAATGTTACATATGCAAGTTAGTATAGTCTCTTAATTATGGAGTTAGTAGGGTAATCTTAAAAAAAAAAATGCATTTTCTGTTCCCTTATACGCTTAGAATTAATCTTACCATTGGAAGGTTTCGGAAAAGGCCCACAAAATAATAACACCGCTTGACGTTCGGAGAGCTCGGAGTGCACTCCTCAAACTTTAAAAGCTAATTTAGTATTTTTTTTTTATGTTCACAAAACGCCTGGCTATCGTCCCTACATATATATATACATATTGTAGGATTTAAATGAAAAGTTTATTGAGAAGTAACAAAATGGAATCGGAAACAATATATTACATGTAATTATGCAAAAATTCGAAATTGAACATATGCATTGCCATTAGCAAGGTTGCTTTTACAAGTAACATTTCAACACATATATTATAATTTATTGACAATGTTATGACAAACTATATGTAAAACATACATGGGCGTTTTGACTCACATGAGCAGTTACTCTCAGCACACGTATTCTTACGCTCTTATTTTAGTCGCTATTGAGAGCGAAAAAACCAATTTTGCACTGTGGGATAATGAATTGATTTTCCTGCCAGTTGCGCTGCAGACAGCAACGAACATAGAATCCCCTAGTATATTTTTGCCCCACTTGAAATGTATAACATAAATAAAAATAAAAAATTATAATTTCAGATACCTTTGGTGGGGTAAATTGGGAGTTGACTACTTTTACTAGCAAACTAGTTAGCGGAAATATTAAGATAAAGTTGAAATTGTGAAGTTCTCGAGAAATAAAGCTTAAAAATAAGGCTTGTTTCGGCGTCCAAAAACACCTTCGCTTTGAAATATATTCACTTAAATAAAGCTTTTCGCCAAAACGGGGTGGTTTTTGGACGCCCCAAAAAAGAAAATTTTTTTTAATTATTTTGAATACCTACATTAATTCTATACTTTTGTGACAGTTTCTTATTAAAATTGCATTCGATAAATTTCTAGGAGTTAACCTGCTTCTTTGCATGGAACAGATGAATTTCATATCAGAAAAAATGTGTTCACAAAAGATCGTTGAGGAGAAAAATGATAAAAGTTTGAGGGAGATTTCTTTAAGCTGCGGATAAAATGAGCTTTCTAAGTTCCTCCAGAAATCGGTAATATCCTTTTTATCATTGAATGACATTTCACTTCTAAGAATTATTAATTTTGACTGGATTTTTAATTCATATTGGTTTACATCACATTTAAACGGGTTTACAAATATATCGATTAAAGGTTGTATTTTTCGGAAGTCCTCAAATCTGTCCTCAAAGTTAAGAAACAGAGTCTCTAATAACTGAGAGTGCGCACGTTTTACACTTAAGACATCAGTACTGTTCATGAGGGAGTAGGCTTGTGGAAAACTTGAATAATCTCCGTATTTGATCTCAGAAAGCAATAAAAAATAAAATAGTTTGAAAATGAGTGACTTCTTTGAATGAAAGAAGCAAGGTTTTTTCTTTTCCTTGTAATTTCAAATTAAGTTCATTCAAACGGTTATACAAATCAGAAAGAAAAGCCAAATTAAAAATAAATGGGCTATCTTCTAATGCCTGTATTAATTCATTTGCCCCAGCTGAACTCCCTAAAAACTTTAGCACTTCATTCCTTAAGGCAAATAATCTCTTCAAGCAATCACCCCGGCTTAACCACCGTACATCGGTGAACATCTTTAGGTCACTGTATTCACTATTAGAAGTTTTTAAAAACTCCTTAAATTTCCGGTGCGTARGTGAATGATGACCTCCTCTTATTTTGTTAATTATTTTCTTTGCAGTTTTCATATATGGAAGAGCGCTCAGGAATTTGGAGGCAAGAGACAGCTGGTGTTAATACACTAATGAAAAGAATAAACCTTAATATAATGCTTTTCCAACTGCCCAACGAAGCCTTCCAGTTTACCAATCTTTACGTTGGCCCCATCCGTACAAACCCCAGCAAATTTCCTTAAGTCCACTTCAGAAAGTAATTTTTGGTGAATAGTTTGGAATATTAACTTACCTGTTACATTTTCGTGGAAGCTTTCTAACGAGAGCATTGATTCAAAATCTTCAAAGTTTGAATCTACGCATCGAACGCAAATGACCATTTCACATATGTCATTTATTTCAGTGCTTTCATCCAAGCATATAGAGAAAAATTGGCAGTCATCAATTCTTTTTTTAATAACTTTTTCAACAAACGTCCCTTTTCCGTCCACATTTCGTGTTATAGTTCTACGTAATAGAATAACTTTTCAAAAAAAAGTTGCTAATGGGCTGCTGAGTATTTGTAAAACTTTTACAACCACTTCTTTCATTAAAGTACCGTCTGAAAAAGGTCTTCCACGCATAGCAATGCTTGAACTAATTATGCTCGAGATATCTTTTTTTAGCGTAGTTTCCGTATCTGTAAAATTTTTTTGACCATCGTTTTTAACTTGGAAAACCCAATCCTTATACTTCTGCAAAAGGGTATTTTTTTTTTTTTCAAAAAACATATCTCTCTCAATACCCTCATATTTCTCAAAGTGCCTCCTAAAATTATATGCCCGGGTCCCCTTTACACACATATTACACAATAGACATTGCATATTACCAAAGGCATTGGAAATCATAAAGCAATATTTGTCATTCATTTTGAACAAACACATATAGGTATGCGCATAAATAGTATCATAAAACAATCAAGCGGCGCACGATGTTGCTTCGCTGTTGTTTGTTAATCAACTGACTGCAAATGTTCTGTGTCCCATGGTAGCCACTTTACGCTCGCCGTTACCAATACATCCATACATTTCATTTGCTCATCCTGATGTAAAATAACAAGAGTGAAAAAAGTAACCTTTTTATTTATCAACATTTTTTCATTACTCTACTAGGGACGATAAACATTCACGTACTCTTTAAAAAATAATTTGGGTTTTTGTGTTTCAGATGTTTCAAACATTAGAAATCATGTACGCCAGTGAAAAAATGCATCTCATCCAAGCCATTTCTCCGACAGATGTCATCAAAAAATTCCGAGAAAAATTGCTTTTACACTCCACGATATACCTCAGATATGTGGAAACAGTTCTATTTGAAAATAAAAATTTCTAWGAAAAAAATTTAAAAAAAAGGGCCAGCTCCCCCTACAGAATATTTAATTTTTAATGCTATAAGTCTTAATAATCACTTCTGAAATAACGGTACTAATCATTAGGGTGGGTCGATTCCGGACTTTTTTCGATCCGGGATTTCTAATAGTGCGGAAAAGGTGCCTTAGTACTTCCTGATTCCAATGAAAATTTTTGTTTTGAGATCCATCGAGTTCCTTCACTCTTGTATATTTAATAAAATTGAATGAGCTTTAACATGAACAAAAGAAAAATGAATTCCATACAATGAAAAAAAAATTATTTGAGTTTCTTAATGTAGCAAAATTCATCAGCCACCCTGTATAATAGCTGACCAATATTCCTGAAACATTGCAAAATTTTAAAAACAAAACTTTACCATATGATCTACACTGTTAAACACTACAACAAAAAGTCGGACCAGAGGGAAAAGGGTGTTAGATGGGTGGGGTTGGTTGGGCATGCAAAGAAGTGGTCAGTGTCATGCGGAGACTCGTTGCATGCAGGACATACGTTGGGTATGTCAGGGTCTATTCTGGATATTTAGGAGTTTAACCTGCTACAATATCCAGAACGAAGTTGCGCAAGGGTCACTCGCGTTTCTCGCGGCAACTCGAGCTCTTYGTCTGCTATGGGTGCTAATTTGACTCCAAGTACGCCATTCACGGGGAGGGAGTCGGTGAAGATGTTGATGGCTCCACTGTGAATGGCGGTCAGTGCCATCGACGTGATCAAGGAATGACCTCTTGATGCTCCTAGGAGGCGGTTCCGCTCCAAGCAGATGACTGCAAGGATAATTTCTACGAAAACATCCCAGCAGGAACTGCTTGGAGAGGAGTTCATTATGCTCCTTAACTGGGAGCGTCTCGCTATGTAGGTGCTTGATAGGAGACATCAGGAGGCATCCCGTCGTGGTCCGGAGTGCTGTATTCTGGCAGGACTGTAGTTCCTCATCTGCATGAAACTGCATCCAGGCGACTATATGGGTGCTGCATAGTTGAGGACCGGCCGGCCGATTGCYTTGTAAGTTGCCAACAACGTTTCTTTGTCTTTTCCCCATGTGCTGCCGGCTAGCGACTTGAGGATTTTGTTGCGGCTCTGTACTTTGGCGATAATCGCGGTCGTATGTGGAGAGGAGGAGCATAGATTGTCGAAGGTGACACCTAAAATCTTTGGGTTATTGACATTCGGAATTTTGACGCCGTCGACTGCAATATTACGTTCCAGTCTATACTCCTTCTTCCAGTTCATAAATATGGTCGCTGTGGATTTGGTAGGGGAAAGTTGGAGGTTCCGTGCAGTGAGGAAACGAGAAAGGTCGGAGAGGTAGTTGTTTACCTTCGAACACATGCCATCGACAATCAGCGTTCGAGGTTATGGAAACCCCCTCTGGTGGTTGCGGGAGTTTCGAGATGTAAAAGTTAAACAGTAGCAGGGAGAGGACACCTCCCAGCGGAACCCCCTGTTCAATTCTTCTCAGTTTAGATGTTGCGCCTCGAA